ATATATATATATATATATATATTTTTTTTTTTTTTTACATTTTGACAATTTATTAGTATAGTTTTTAAGGCAAGCATTACTATTGCTTATAAATACAAAAGATAAAGAAAGATTATTTCACAAGTACTCAAAAGTAACTACTCAAAAGTAGTTGTGCATGCTTATTTTATATTTTAATTTGTATTTTTTGTAAGCAACTTATAAATTGTAAACACTCACAACACTATGCCAACATGCGCAAAACTCACTGCTAAGCATGACTCGTTTTCTTAAAAGAAATGGGAAAAACTAGTTTATTTATTACAAATGTTAGTGAAACTTAAATTTCAAGACTCCTATGCATTAAAAAATGCACTTGGGCCTATTTTTTTCTCCAACTAACAGTCCTCAAACTTCTTTGGCTTGCAATACACACCTCAACCATAATGCATGGGGAAAAAAAACACACACACACAAACAAGTGCAGAAAATCAGCCTCGCCTCTGGAGGACCCGGACCTCGAAGCTGAGATATTTACAAGCAGTTCATAACAAATCAAAGCGCTTTTCGTTTCATGTATCGTTTGAAGTCTTTTGGCACATCAACGCACAGTTTGTTGAATTTCTCCCCAGATATCGTCCCATTGACTGAGAGTTGGGCACGCCGCTCCAACTGAGACGTCAAAGCACTCTCCATCATCTCTGGAAAACCTCCGGGACTTTATTTAGAGGCCGAGAGCCCAGATCCTTCTGAATGAGAGACGGCTGAGCCAGTCTTTGTTTTGTCAAGAGCAGAAGAACATGCTTGGATGAAGGAAACGAGGGACCAGTATTTTGCAAAGAGCTACAAAAGACAACACTGCAGAATTTCCACTTTTCCCAGCCATTTAACTTCACGTCAGAGTCCGTGTCGGCCGGATTTGTGCCAGTTTTGTCAGGCACTGGTGGCCGACAAGAAATGATGTTTTTGGATTTAAGCCGCGGCCTTCGAATGCTCAACCTACGCCGCGCATTTGCCAACATAAACCCCCAAAGCCACAGCCCTCACACTGCTGAGGGGCAGAAATTAATCGTGAAGGCCGAACATGAGGCAATTTATCAATGGCTGCTCTAATGCGTGGGCTGTGGCGAGGAAGGCAGGGTTCATCATGGGAGCCGTGCCACTGGGAAAAGAGAGGTAGAAAACGCGAGAGAAAGTAATTAGCTTTGGTTCTGGGTAAAAACACACTCATATGCAAGGCATGGGAAATGCTGCAAAAGATCTGTCTTATGAACTCGTAAATACCAGTAACTGATCTCACTGGCTGCGTAAACTGCTGCCCAGAGCAACATCCCAGAATAATCGCATACAAAGATCAGTAAACAAAGAGGGCTCTCAAGAATAAGAAACACTGCGGGATGAATGCACACAAACACGCAAAACACTGTCATGAAATACTATGGCAGAAAGGCTTGAGTTTCCAGAACTGACTGCTGCAGGTGTCGGTCTGGAGGCGGAGCAGCTCCGCCCACTCACACAAGACTCCACCCTTCTGACGTTCTCACTCCTTTGATGGCTCCTGCTTTTGGATAGTTAGCATGGGTCAGTTAGTCAGTACTGGCAGATGTTAAAACTATAAAAAATATGCTGTCAAGATGCATGTTTTGTCCATTGATGGCCATTTTAAATTCCTGTGCAGTCTGACAAAATAATTTTTGGCAAGCAACACATGGAGCACAAATAATTTTATATTATGTGAAAAATGAACATACATGTCTGCTGTCTTTGATATCACAGCTCAGGATAGTCATCACAGCAAACCTTTGTAGAATTTGTCAGTGTAAAATAATTATACACATTCTATCTATCTATCTATCTATCTATCTATCTATCTATCTTCCCTTTAAATTCATTAGTTGGAATTTGAATTGAATGGGTTACACGCCACAGATTGTGACTGAATTCAAAATGACTGGAGGAGAATTTAGCCTACTAAACTGCGATTCAAAGAAATTCAACACACAAAATGTATTCTGGTAACTTAGTGTTCTTGGTTCACAAAAACAATAGTTAATTAAATATGCTAAAATATATCAGCTACGTATTTTCATATGCAAATTTTCATTATCTATATATCTATCTATCTATCTGTCTGTCTGTCTGTCTGTCTGTCTGTCTGTCTGTCTGTGTTTGTCCGTCCATCCATCCGTCCATCCATCCATCCATCTACATACATACATACATACATATATATATATTATATAAATATAATTTAAATGTTTATTATATATAAAATATAAATAATAAAAAATGTGTGCATGTATTTAAAATTGCATGTGTGTGTATAATAATTAATAATAATAATTTATGCATTTAACAGACGCTTTTATCCAAAGCGACTTGCAGTGCATTCAGGCTATACACACACACTGTAAAATATATTTATAATAATTTTATATATTTTATATTTATATAATTTTAGATAGTTATTTAAAGTTTTTCTCTTCAAAACTTTTGATGTTTTAAAACTGCATATGTTTTATCGCAACAGAATGATTCTACATTCAATTAATAAAATCTCAAATCCAAACATGTATATGAAAAATATTGTCATATTTAATTTACATCACCTGCTACAACAGAATAACACAAGGGCATTTCCATCCTGTCGATACCTGTAGGAACTGTACCCAAACTCGGACAGAGTCACAGATGCACAACCACACGTCTGGCTCTCCCACTCACCCACCACAACTTACTGAAATATTAAAATAAAATGTTGAGGTTTGAACTAAGCTAGTGTGAGCGAGTCTATAGTTCAGTGTGAACACAAACAGGCCTGGACCAACTCGTCCCAACATTACTCTAACTCACAAACAGCTAAACCTGGCCATTTTCCCAGTGCATCATTAAACTGTGGGCAGTATTAAACGCTTGGATATTTATAGGCATTTATTTAGCAAAAATCCCTGCCATAATAGCACCGATAGCAGTGACTTGTTTACCTTTTGGCTCTCTGGGTGGAAGTTTGGGTGTCACCTCATTCAAAATTTTATCACCTTACATTCTCATGTTTTTATAAGATACAAGCAAATGCTCTCATTAAAAGTGTCCACTTCCTGAGCTGAAAATGGAAATCTCTCTGACGGGATCTAACCGCCACACCAGGCTCCCCGCGACTTCCTACACAGGTGTACCAAACCTGCCCGTGACCCTCGTTTCTTCTGCTTCGAAAACACATAAAATGTCGGGCGTTTCAATACCGGCTGAAACAGGCTTTGGAAAAAGGCCCAAAAAAAGGTATCAGAAGTGCAGAAGAAAGTTTTCCGTTGTAAATTTTAAGGGGGGCCGAGGTACGGTTCAGGCCAGAGCGTTTGACTACTATGAGAGCGGCAGAGAAAGACTTCAGCTGTGTTTGGCACAGGAACCTCTGAGACAAGCGTTAAAAGATGAAAGACGGGTCAGGACTCCGCGCCTATAAAACGGATCTGTTGCTGTCTGTAGCTTCAGCGATGGGCACAATGCTGAATATTTCAGCTCTACTGCTGGAAAACAAACTGATAACATGAAATAATCAGCAGGACTAGATGGAATCTGGGGACGCTTTTCAGCTTTTCTGGCTTTAAACATGATCAGATGTGCTAAACATAGCTAAGAATACAATATTAGAATACATTAGAAGCTGAAAGCTTCATAAAATTGGCTGAAATATGCAATAAGCACTTGTAGAACTTTGTTAACGATGGTCATTCTGTCAACATGAAATGGAACTTGAAATCTATTTTAGATAATAAAAAAAAAATCCATTGAGAATTGATCCAGGTTGTGATTGTGGAGTCAACTTTTTGACAAGCATCTCAACGTATGCTAAGAGTAATGGTGCTTTTTGTATCTAACTATTGGAAAATTGTTAACTATTCCTAGAATTAAATGAAATAAATGTTTGTTTGTTTTTTGTTCCTGGTCTTTAATCTGTGCATGTCATTGTAAGTAAGTAATGAAAGGAAATAAATAAA